TGTGAATACACACACACACGCTCCTCGTACAGCTCGTCTCTCTCTCTCTCTCTCTCTCTCTCTCTCTCTCTCACTCTCTCATCCCTCCTCATCCCCCCCTTCCGGTTTTCACCAAGCAAAGAATGACCCAGGATGCTGAATGTTTTATTTACTTACACAGAATAAAGGAATATATTGAAATAAGTCGTGATTTCCATCCTCTGATGATAAAACCGTTCCGCATGTCTAAGATGTTACGTCGTCGTCACCGTGTTTTCGCCCCGCTTATGATGAAACTCATTGTAACCTGCATCAGGTTGGGAGAAAAAAAAAATTTTAAATGAGAAAAAAAAAAAGAGAGAGAGAGAGAGAAAGAAAAAGCCAATAAAGTGATGTTTTCCATCCTAGATCCTTCTTTGCGTTATTTTAGAAATGAGGCTCATGAGGTTGCCAACAACGTCGCTGTTTCCTGAGGCATATCGAGGCCTGACTAGTGTAACGAACGCCCAGCGGTTTCACCGAAGTACGCGGTTCTCGATAACAGGAAGTCATGCGTTTGGAAGATCCTCGCGTTCTAATGTAGCGAACAGTGAGTGGATGGTGGTGATTTTCAGAAGTTTAGTCCTGATTAGCGACGACGCTTTAATGCATCGTTGGCCGCATTTTTGACAGCGAGTGCTTTAAAATGTAGACGTTTGTGCAGCGTCTGTCCTTGAGGTTGAGCAGCGAGGCTGTTTTTGGAGGACCCCCCTTGTTTTTGTAAGATGATGTTCCCCAGCTTTATCCTTGCACGAGTCACGACAACCATAACCACGCCTTTTTAACATGCCGCAGGAAAATAAATCCTCTCATCATTAAGAGGGAATTCCTGGATCAGAGGGAATAAAAGCAGATTTAAAAAGACAAGGATGGCGGTTTGAAGATTGGAAGTGGCAGCCTTTTCACAGACCGCCGTCTGTGCGGCGTTTACATCCGAGCACATGAACGTCGCCGCGTCCGTATAACCGGTTTAATCCGCGCTCTGCTTTTGTCCTCCATCTTTTTGTTGTTGTTGTTGTTGTTTCGCTTCTTTCTTTCTTTTCTCTCAGCCCATCCGGGGAAAACAAATCGCATAATAACCGGCTTCCCGACATCGATGTCGACAAACTGACACTTTCTTTTCCTGTTCTCTGTAATTCCAAAGGCTTCTGCGAATGTTACGGTGATTACAAACCAACAAACACCCTGAAGGTCACGACCCTGTACTGACCTCTCGAAAATGGAACGTGCACCCTCCACAGATCCATGATGATGATATTATTATTATTATTATTATTATTATTATTGTTATTACTATTTTTATTTTTTTTGAGAAATTTCATTTTCATTATCTTTTGTGTGGTTTTTTTTTTTTCTTTCTTCTTTTTTTTTCACAACACACCAAAACTTATCAAGAGCTTCAAAAACTCACCCCCCCCCCCTTCTTCCTGTTTTCATTGTATTGATCACGTAGACCTCCTATAGTGGATGAAATTAACCCGATTTATTTGAATGACGCGTCATCTGTCTGGAGATTAAATAAAAATGTGTATTTTAGCTAGCCTCTTCGTTTAGCTGCCCTATGTTCTGATGTGAAGCTTTAATTTTTAAGAATTTATGTTGAGAAGAAACAGCAAAAAATAACGTGTGCATACGGTTGTTGTTTTTCCCCCTCCCCCGTTTCTTAGATTTTTCCTTTCTTTATTTTTTTTTCCTGTTTTGTTTCTAGCTTTTTTTTTTTATTTTTATTTTTTTTTTTAAACCCATCTTGTAACATCTGAGAAATGCACTATAATAAAGAGATCTCTATTACAGAACTAGTTTTTAAATGTATTAATTCTTGTGTAATTAATGTTGTATACAGTGTGACTACACGTGATGGTGAAGTAACAGCACCGCCATCTCACGGTTCGGTCCTGGTTCTCCTCACGTGTATCTGGGTTTCCTCTGGGTTCTCTGGTTTCTTCCCACCTCCCAAAAATATACAGATGGGTATAGATAGATAGAGAGGTGTGCCGGCGGTGTCCTGTCCTAGTCTTTCCTCTGGATCCATTCAGACTCTTTGTAGAAAATGTGGAAACATACTCTATCCTATTTATTAATTCATTTATTTATTTACGCTTCCATTGCAGTAAGCAAATTCACCAGAAGGTGGCACTGACATGTTCAGCACATTTCACATTACTGCTCTGTACGGTAGTTTCTCTTTGTACCGCTTCTCTGTTAATCATCAATACCTGACCAAACACCTGAGTTTGTTTTTGGATGAGAGTAGAGGCTTTTTCTTTCTTTCTTGAAACCCTTCTAAACAACGTGTAGGTGACTTCGGATTGTAGTTTTGGAGACGTTCTGACCCCAAGACGCAACTAACTTCTGCAGTTCTCCAGCTGGAGATTTTTTGTCCACTCGAACCGTCCTCTTCACAGTGCGCTGAGACGATATAGACACGCGTCCAATTCCAGGTCGATTCGTAACATTTCCAGTCGACTGGAACTTCTTAATTATTGCCCTGATGGTGGAAACGGGCATTTTCAATGCTTGTGCTTTTATCTTATAGCCACGCCCCATTTTGTGAAGCTCAACAACCTTTTGCCGCACATCACAGCTACATTCATCGCGATTACCCATCGTTATGAATGACTAAAAGAATTTGGCCTGTGTGTTACCTCATATTTATACCCCTGTGAAACAGGAAGTCATGGTTGAACAACTTCCTGTTCCTAGTCACCCAGGTGTACTAAAAAAGGAAAATATCAATGGGAATATAAAATATCGATTCATCGGGTTGCCAATACTTATGCATGCATATTTAACAAAGCTATATTTCTTTGGATAAACCCGTGTTTTATTTGAAATCGTTTGATCTGCGTGAGAGCAGAGTACTTCTGTGAACAAAAGATCAAAAGGTTAATCAATAAAGACAAATTTTTAGACTTTTTATATCCTTTGGACGACGTGTGTGTGTGTGTGTGTGTGTGTGTGTCCTGGGTTGATTACATCACATCAGCTCTTCTCTGACACACAGCGGAGTTTATGAGACACGGGAATACACCCCTCAGGCTCAGCTATCTACAGCGGGCTCATCATGTAACTACCTCCAGCATCATACACACTCTCACGTGCAGGAGTGTCTCCACTGATTCTTTCATTTGATGGACAGCTGACAGATTTGGGTTAGCTTAGCGAACCGTGGCTTTTGTGTGAACGTCATGCAACAAGAAGGTTTGCAGTGCTTCGTTGAAAGAGAGGAACCTGCCAGGAACCCTGAGTATAATCGGAGTATACGGGCTTCGACGATGTAATGCTCTCGTTAACCAATCATCTTCAGGCAGGAGATTATTAAATGTAAATCTCCAGCTCATCAAAAACTGCTTATACGTCCTCTGGTGAAAAAAAAATGATGGAATCACAACACTTAGAGGATGCTCACCAAACTTCTGGGCAAATCACAGATATGACACAAAACAATTTCTGTTTAATCGCTGAACGTTCTAGCATCGTAAATGGATTTAATTTTAATTGATGGCATATTTCTTTACCAAATCATCATCAACAACAAAATCACAATTAGTACTTTGTTGCTCCTCCTTGTTTTTTTTTTTTTTTTCACCCTTCGAGATGTAGACTTCTGATCTTCTCCATCAAGCTGGTTCAAACTTTCCAGACTAGCAGCTGACGGACCAGCATTGCAGGACGGAGTCTTGTCATGGACCAGTTTTTTTATTTCCTCCATGAAATTGAATCGGATCGAGATCCGGACTGTTTGCTGGCCAGGTCGTTGAGCTGATCTTCATCCAATCTTTTATCCAAATGAGGAAATACACGCAAAAAAGTCATACATCAAGCGGAGAACAATACAAGTAGTGCTACGATGCAAGATTTATAATTGAGTTCTAGAGAAGCAAAGTGCACAGAGTAGAGGTGTAAGAGTCGAAGAGCCAGAGTAGGTGGAAGAGGCGGGTCTTTAGCTGTTTTTTGAAGATTGTGACAGATTCTGCGGTCCGGATCGAGGTCGGAAGTTTGTTCCGCCACCCAGGGACGGTTAGTGTGAAGGTTCTGGAAAGGGACTTTGAGTAGGTACTACTAAGCATCGGTCGTTGATTGATCGCAGGTCGCGTGAGGGAACGTAAGCCTTCAGGAGAGAGTTGAGGTAGAAGGGTGCTGTTCCAGACAAGGTCTTGTAGGTGAGCATCAAGGCCTTGAATTTGATCTGGACGGATACAGGAAGCCAGTGGAGGGCGATGAAGAGTAGGTGTGAGACGGGTTCTTTTGGACTGCTTGAAGACGAGACATCCTGCCGTGTTCTGAATCATCTGAAGGGGTTTGATGGAGATGGCTGGGAGATCCGAGAGTACAATAGAGCAGCACCAGACAAAAGTTCCAGTGTCATCTCCTTGGCCAAGGCAGATTCATCACTGATTCATCACTGAATATCACTTTCGTCCAATCGTACACTCCATGATCGCTTCTCTTAAGCCAATCTAGCTTGTTTTCTTCTCTTTAGATGGGTTTCCTTCGGCTTTTCGATTCTAGACGTAAATCCCATTTCATTCAGCCGATTTCTCACAGTTCTGTCACAAACTAACACCGACTCCTGTTTCCCGGCCCGTTTCTTTTCCATGTGTTTTGTTGTTCCTATTTTCAAGGCGTATCGCTTTCGTTTTCTCTCCTGACGCTTTGACGTCTTCCTCGGGCGACCCGTACGTTTTCCGTTCATCGCCTTAGACAGAGCTACCTGGGAACAACCGACATCTTCTGCCACACTCCGGGTCGGATTTCCTTCTTAAAGGGGTTTTATATTCCTTTCCGTTGTTTCAGTTGAATTGGGGCGATGTTTCCTTTCATTTTGCCAAGACCGAAGACTAATTTGCATTTTAGAAATGTTTCAGGAATTTGTTTCAGATTTCATCGTTTCGTCCTCGACTCGATTTGGAAGAAAATATGCCGTTAGGTTAAATGACTTCGTTAACGTTGTTTGAGGTTGTTCAGCTCCGACACCCCAAGCGCTGGTAGCTCAGCGGTTACGATGTTGGGCTACTGATCCGAAGGTCATGAGTTCAAGCCCCAATTCTGTCAAATGGTTGTCCTCACTCAATGATCTTCAGCAACGTGGTTTGTGTTGCTGTGGATCTGGAGTCTATTCCCTTGATGGTACACCATCACATGGCACCAGGTGCACACACACACACACACTGCTAGGGACAATTAAAACGGAAGACCCAGACACGGGGAGAACATGACTCTCCATACCAACAAGCTCAGGGTCGAATCCTGGAGCTGTGAGGCACCATCTTGTTGCCATTGTAATATCTTTTCTTGAGCTCTTCTTCTTCTATAACATCCTTTCCTAGTCCTCCACTGAGCTTTGGGATGAATCAAAGATTACTGACTCCTAGATTACTTATCTACAAGAACTGCCAGTGCCAGGTCCTGGCACACTTGCACTGCTGGGGCTCCTCGAGGCCTCCGGATCTGTCCGATTCCTCCTTCTTTGGAATTTCCTGCACTTGTGGACGGTCCCTAAACCAAACCGTACTGATATGTTAGTACCTTGAACCCACTCACAGACCACCACCCTGATAATAAGGCATGACATGACCACTAGATGGCGTCCTGCCACACAATGTTCGATGTTTCACACTGCTTATGCGTTTCTGCTGCACTGCATGTCACAAAATGAACACCTTGTTCATTATATTCCAATAGCAGCGTAACCCCTATGGGCTTCATTCCTTATTTATGCAGTTCAATTGAAGTTCATCACTCTAATTATCATGTCACATTAGTTTATGCCCTTCTTGAACGTTTTCTTTTTCAATCTGGAACGGTTAAGAGTGCTGTATTCGAACCTCTGAAAGAACCCACGCATTTATTGAACCCGTAAATTCTACTTAGAACCGTACAATAAAGAAAGAACCCTAATTATGAAGATAGGGACACGTAATGATCCAAAATAAAACCCTTTCAGTATATATAGTTATTGTGGATAATAATCCGCACCTTTAATGGTTCTTTACTTTGTCCCTCTGAGAGAACCCTTACAGGTTCTACGTATCCTCATTAGGAAGCTTTTCAGTTATCGCGGGAAAAAAAATTATGCCCAGGAAATATCTTCAGGAAGCCATGCTGTCTTGTAGTTACTGAATAATACGCTAATAATAATAATAATAATAATAATAATAATAATAATAATAATAATAATAATAATAATAATAATAATAATGATAATAATAATGATAATAATAATAATAATAATAATGATAATAATAATGATAATGATAAAAAGATTCCATCTATTTCATGAAATTAATGTTTTTTTTGTTTGCTTTTCTGAGAGAATGCTTACTGGTTCCAGCTAAAACCTTTAGGAATGTTGAACTATCTAAAGACACCCAAAGGAACCCACTCTCCCCTAAGCGTATAGGTGTTTGGAAAAGTACAAGAGCATAAGAATTTAAATAAATCCATCCAGCACCCTTAATGTTTTTTTTGTTTTTTTTCGGTTGTTCCTCTGAGGAAACTTTTAAAGATACTACACGTTATAAACCCTATCCGAATGGATTCCCCTGGGAAACCCCTTTAGGAAGCGAAGAATCCAGAAGAACCCACGAGGAACCCTTTTTCTAGTGGAGGGTTTGGAAATGTAATGGAGACGAACGTTGTTGTTTTTTTCCCGTGGTCATAAGGATTACTAGCTTCCGAAAATGTTTTACTTGGAATTCTTTCTGATCCCTTTCTGTTTGTAGTTCTACACACGACAAACCCTTAAGAGTTCTACCGGAGGACGAAATCAAACAGGACATATCTCAGAGGGAACGTCTTTTATGTCGTTTTAGACTTTTGCCTGGGAAAGAAAATGTAGCGTCTCGTTGAGACATTTCGTTTAACGTGCTTAACGAGTTTCTAAGGTACAAAAAGGGTACAGAGTATGTACCTTTGTTTCACTCCAGTGACCAGAAATAGCACAGCTTAATTCCAGAGGGGGGCGGGGGGTGGGGTGGGTGGGGTCTTTCTACTCCTGAGGATGTATCACTGCTTGACATTCAAGATGACCATGACAGCAAAGTAAACGACATCACGAGCTATTTTTAGCCAACACACCTTGTCTTGTCCTTTTGTTTATTCATGGTGGATCCGGAGTCTATCCCGGGAACACTGGGCGCGAGTTGGGAATACAGCCTGGATGGGACGACAGTACATCACACACACAACATGCACATGATTACACACTCGTTTGCACCTAGGAGGAACTGATCACATGACGATCCACCTACTGTGTCTGGATGATGGCAGGGAATCGGAGAACCCGGAGGAAACCGACTCAGAAGTGCATAATCGATAACCCAAGATTAGGATCGAACCCAAGCACCCTGGAGCTGTAAGACAGCAGTGCTACCCAGTCCACCTCTCATCCTTTCCCTTTCACTGGAAACGAAACATTGTAATGCAGTACCCTTCATCCTCCGTGCCACCACGCTGTCGCTTCAGGGCCTTTTTCTGCTTTTATCGATGGCCTGTTGAGTATTTATCGCCACGTTCGAGAGCACTTAGTCAGGATTTAGCCATATGCAATGATTTAACAAGGACCACTGATGGGGATCAGCGCTCCAAAAATATAGCGCCAAACAAGATGATGGAGAGAGCAGGGCATGATAATGAATTTACGCCTGAGATTTATTTTGTGTGGGGTTTGTGAGAGCAGCTCTTGTGCGAGAAAAAGAAACGCTGAGGTTACCAGGTGGCCCTGAAGTTGTCTCCCATCTTGCACAGTTTCTGCTCAGCAAGATTTCAGGTGGCCCAATCACCAAGGAGATGTTACCTTGGAAACAGCACCTTACTTATTTATAGGGATGGGTAAGAGAGAATAAGTAAGACAGGAAGAGAGAAAGGAATACACTTATAATAGTAATAATAGTAATAAAACGAATATTTTACTATCAATCATTTACGGGTACAGGGGATTCATTTAGAATGAAATTAATTGAAAAATATTCACAAAGGTCTGAGGCATCAAGGCATGAGAGGCTTTTATTTTCCTCACTTTAGAAGAGATATTGAGCTTCATAAGAGTTAATGTTGCGTTAAACATTAGGGAAGAGATCAACATTAATCAATGATGAAGCTTCAAGAACTCAGAAAGGTCAAGGACACCCTACAGCAAAGGAAATCAAGTCTAGACCTGATGACTCCAGCAGTGTTTGGTGATTTCCCTCCATTACAGCACCCAATAAAGCTGGTAATTAACTGCTCGAACCAGGTGTCATTAAGCACAGAAATCTCGGCGCGGTCCTGGACTTGAGTCCTCCAGAACTACTGGATTGTTTTTGACCTTTCTGAGGTCCCTGAGTTCTGGGAGCTTCACCTTCATGCTCATGTTTCAGGAGGAGAGAGAGAGAGAGAGTTGCAGGGGAAACTGTAGGTAAGAGGTTCTTAGGACTGGATCTGGGATGTAACTCTAGGTTAATGTCTGAAGGCCTTCAGTAACTGTGTGATAGAGCGATGTGAGGATTTGTGGGATAAGTTGTTTTTTCATTTCCTGATGAGTTTGAGGGGAATGTTTGGAGATGATAGAGGGAAATGTTTATATCCGTCTCTCCATCTGTCCATCCATCTGCATTTTTAGATTTAAGGGGTATAATCGGTTGTTTAGAGCTCAGGAACCACCAAGCCAAGATTATGTAAAATATTATAGAAAAATTATTTAAAATATTACTTTAAATAATCAGCCCTGCATCCATCTATCTATCTATCTATCTATCTATCTATCTATCTATCTATCTATCTACTATCTATCTATCTATCTATCTATCTATCTATCTATCTATCTATCTATCTATTCAACCATCTATCCATCCAACCATTCAGCCAGTCATCCAACCAACCACATATCAATCCATCCATCCATCCATCCATCCACCAAACCAATGTACATCCAACCATTCATCCAGTCATCCAACCATCCAACCATTCATTCAACCATCCATCCATCAAACCAATGTCCTTCCATCCACCTATCTATCTATCTATCTATCTATCTATCTATCTATCTATCTATCTATCTATCTATCTATCTATCTATCTATCTATCTATCTATCTATCTATCTATCTATCTATTCAATCATCTATCCATCCATCAAACCAATGTCCATTCAACCATTCAGCCAGTCATCCAACCAACCACATATCAATCAATCCATCCATCCATCCATCCATCCATCCATCCAACCAACCATCCATCAATCAAACCAATGTCCATCCAACCATTCATCCAGTCATCCATCCAGCCACATATCAACTGATCCATCCATCTATGCATCCATCAAACCAATGTAGTTCCAACCATTCATCCAGTCATCCAACCATCCATTTATCCATCCATCCATTCGACCATCCATCAATCCGTTCTAATACCCATCCATCAATGGGCGGTCATAGGCTGTCTGTTGGGAAATGGCAAAAAAATCAAAAGTGCAGATGGAGATCACTAATTCATGTTTTTTCTATTATAGAGGCACACTAGAGGGGACATTTTTAACATGCAGGAGCACCCAAAGAGGAAATCATCCTATTTTTTTTTTTTTTGCATGCAAGGAACCCTATAGGGCACTACACCTAATTGTCTCCACTGGAAGTGTACCCATTAGAGCACTTCATCATGTTGTTATGTTTTTTTTTGCACATAACGGCACACTAGAGGGCATCACATTTTTTTTTTCCATTTGAAAGACAGCCATTAGGGCACTTCATCATACTAGAGGGCACATTTCCATGAGGGCAAATATCCCTCCCTCTGAGTTCAACAGTCCATCCATCCATCCATCCATCCATCCATCCATCAGATATCCTTAATATTCTCAGTTCCTGTCACCTCCCCTATAATACATCATTTAAAGACAACTTCCACCGATTATACAACATTTCGTTATAATTCACTCATTTCAAAGTTTGTTTTGATGAAAAGTGCCCTGTTCTGGAGAAACATATTAAGTCGGAGTGTATTACACAACAGCAGTGACAGGAAGCAGGGGATGGAAATCTGAACGCAATTAAAATAACATTAGTACAAAATTGGACA